ACAACCGAGACGTGACTGACAGACCAGTGATATCCGAACATCTTCAGGCCGATTTTCCCTACCACCTATCATACAAGTTTGAAGATATTCACCAGAAAATTCGCTTACCACCACGTACGATGGCATTGTCTTTGGAATGGTTAGTGCTGGAGTGTACAGCGATATGTGAGTTTTAACTTGGATTTTGAGACCGAAAAAGAGGGGTTTATCTTACAAGGGAAAGTATAGGGAACGCTAAAGCGACACGCCCGTTCTGAATAATACCAATGGTTACATTTCTTCTCTCCCGAAGCCGCATATGGGAAATGAGGAAGTAAAAATTTGGATCGATCTGCTCACCAAATATGTGATGGACAAGGATAGTGATTTACAAGCGGCTCAGACAGGGAGTGTGTTACCCGCCGCTTCGGGGCTAGTGAGCGACCCGTCATAACTGAGAACTTAAATTTTTGTTGTACTATTTCGGGATTTTGGTCGCATGGTTGACCAACTCCAGAAAGCGACTTTGTTTCTACCTACCCCAGGAGAAGGGTATTGCAGAGGCGATGATCAGACCTTGACTAGGTCTTTTAAGATGTACACTCCAACGTAATTCAGCGGGAACCGGATAAATGTTATAAGCGTTGAATGTTCACAATGAACATCACGCAAAATAGAGCGCGGAAAGAGACACAACTTTATTTGGTCCATGGTTGGGACGCTTAAACCACCATCGAAGCTAAGTTACTGGTAGTAAATATCCGACTCAGAGAGTCAGAGCCTTAAAGGTGTAGAAATCGCATTAAGGGTCATTCTCATCGGGCGAGAGGACAGGTGAATGTTAATGTTGGGGTAGATAGTCAAGCGAGTATGCAAGCACGTAACGGAGAATGACCGACTATCGTGTTTAGCCAAGGACCCAGTAAAGCTTTACTTAAACCGTGAAAAAGAGGGGCACGCCAAGATTGGCATACCTTTGGCATACGCCTTTCCGAGTTTCAAATCTATTTGGAGTTAATGCGGCAACTTAGAAACACGAGGTACGGGTTATAGATATTCGCAATCGTACATATATCCAAACCCAATAGGGTTTAGGAGTTTCCCGATCGACCGAGTGACGCGTTATCGATAGAAGAAGCAAACCGGGTCGACTGTGAAGAATGTTTGCTACAGGAAGATAGCTAGATGCGAGAACAGAAAGGAAGCTGGTATGAAGTTGAAGAAATTGTGTGAATTTGTACAGTCAAGACGCATCGGACCGGGTGACTACAGCAAGAATTCTACTTCCGTTGAAAGGGAAATACGGATCTCTTGTGGGTGAATGAAGTAGACCTAGCCTATGGACACCTACTCCGATACTTTTGAGCGCAAGGAGACGATTTATTATCGTTGAGAAAGGATGCGGAGTCATGAAATCAGACATCGACAGTAGACGTAGCCTCTGGAGGGTGTACTTTATTCCTCAGTAGTATACCCGGGCCCTTGATGGAATGCATAGGTCCTTAGAAGAAATCTCGGGATACCCAAAAGTGAAGCTGAATACGCCGAAGAAAGAAATACTGATGTGCCTGACTAAGGCAGAAGAAAGCATGAAAAGAGAAAGGAAGCGTGCATATTCAATCGGGAGAGACCTAAGAGGATGGAGTAACCTTGATTTGAAAGCAAGGGACCAAGCTTCCAGGATGAGGCTCCAGCGACAATTGGAACTGCATGAGCCAGAGCCACGTAGAGCCGGTGGCTTGAAGGACTTCCGCGAAGTCGACCGAAAACGACCGTTCTTCACGACCGGGAAACCAATGCAAAACTAAGCGAGGTTGAGGAGGGTTCTAGTAAAGGAATCAAGGAGGATGTCAAGCGCATCGGCCGTCACTCTGTCCTTTTAGGATTAGCTAACGAATTCCCGCCACACCCGAGTCGCTCAACCTCTACGCTTCTTCCGTGCATTGTAGTAGGAAATTTGGTGTCGTTTTTACATACAGTGGCTTGCCAACCAAAACGCTTGAATGTGTGTTTCATCGAAGCGCACGCAAACGAAGCCATATCGGCGAAACAGCTCACTAATCGGAAGGATACGGCGGGGTCGGTTATCCGGAGAAAGATCACGGGGTGGTAATTAGCATGTTTTTCAGCATGGTGGGGTTGACCAGAGATAATCTAAATTAAGATGGGGCGGTCGATATTTTCGTACCGTCGACCAAAACATCCTCACGGAAACTTTTGACGGTCGAACAAGTCTCTAGATATCGTTTTAAAGACGCATCAGGAGTTGACATAGTATACTGATCGTGTGGACCTATCTTTCCTCCTGCAACCGTAGGAGAGACCGTCTTTACAGAGCTGACTCGGCCTCGCGTCGGTATACTCGAACATCGCTCGATTTAACGAGCGGTGTTGTTCCTGGGATGTAATGCCTTGATGGAGAATACAAAAGTGATTGCATTAGGTCCTTAGTTCACATACAAGCTGCTACGCTAAGCCTTCTGAGTTTCATGGATAATTCTTTCTTAATTTCAACTGGGACAAAACTCGATGGTTTGCACAAAGTGCTCTTATACGGTCGGTCCGCAACCATTCTGGAGCGGGATTGTACAACGTGCGCGACGAAGTCAACCGCAATCATTCTGGAGCGGGATTGCACACCGTGTGCGTAAACGACGTCGAAAGACATTCTAAAACGAGTGCCTTTGCTACATATTCCCTGAGCGGAGTTCGCGTTGGTGCATCAGGAAGTCTTTCACTAAATTGCGCCAATGTGTAACGTGTCTGATGTTTTTTTCTTTTTCCCAAGTACACTCGTGCTATGGAAGTCCATGCCACCGGACGAGCCACTCTGGTTGTCTGCTAACCATGCGCTTTTTGACAAGCGCTTCCACAATGTGCAACTCGTCACCGGTGGCTTCATCAAGTTTCACCGGTACTGATTCTGGCGCCGATCTACTGTTAAACCGCACAGGGTTTGGCACAAAGTGGCTTAACAAATCGATGTTGAAGCTCGGGTGCAACTTGAGGAGTGCTCGAGGGAGAGTAATCTTGGCCACATTCTGGTTAATCATTTTCTCAATCTTGAACGGCCCGATCTTCTTCGCAACTAGCTTTGAATGTGTTGCATCTTGACCGTTGTTGCGATGGCGTAAATTGAGATGTCTAGAGTCAAGAACAACTATGTCCCCAGCATTAACCGTGATACTGCTGCGTTTCCTGTCGTAAAACTCTTTTTTTTCTTTTGAGCATTCATTAAGTTCTTCCGTGCAAATTCGATGATCTTCTGTCTTCTGTCTGCAAATTTCTTAGCGTAGTCGGATATACCGGTCTTCGTCACCTTGTCACTGGAGTCGCCTGTTATAGCGTTGTTGCATTTCCGTCCCGTGTCAATTTCGAATGGTGAGAGGTGGGTAGACTTGCTTACCAGTGTAGCGTGCGCAAACTCTGTAGTACTGAGATGCTCTGACCAGCCACTTCCATGGTACGAAACCATACATGGTAGAGCATTTTCCAAAATTAAATTTTGACGCTCTGTTTGACAGTCCGCTTGTGCGCGGTGAGATGTCGTCATTGAAAGCCTAGTACCCATGACCGCCATGAGAGATCTCCAACGTGGCCTACCCACGAGCAAGAACTATTAGAGATCAAGGCAGATCTTTCCAAATGGCGCCATTACCTTCATATACGTTCTTTCGACGTGTTTACAGACAATACTGCGTGCCGCCGGATGCTTCATCATCCCAAAGATCTCCAAAAGTTTGACGCAAATTTCGGGTCGCGACCACTTATGATGACCTTCGGTAGACCGTGAAAGCGGACTACCACATCAAAGAAAAGTCTAGCAACTTGTGGCGCGTCGATGTTGGTGTGCGTGGCAGCATATCTTGGACGTTTCGACACTTTATCAACTACAGCCATGATCGCGTCAAACCCGCTTGACACTGGTCGTCCCGTAATAAAATCCATCGACACAACTTCCCAACAGTCTTCTGGTATAGGTATTGGCATGAGCTTTCCATTTTTCTTCAGTGTGCTCGTCTTCCATCGCACACATGTACCACAGCTTGATACATAATCGCGTACATCTAGTTCCAAGTTTGGCCAAAAGTACCATTGCGCCACCTTTAACTGATTGCGACGTGTTCCTGGATGTGCCGCTGTGTTCCCATCGTGATCTTCTCGGAGGATACCGGTGATCAACCGTTTGTCCAATTTAACGCAGTGTCGACTGACAGAATGCTTTGTTTTCAGACAAAGAAGCCCAATCTTCAACTCGTACTTCTCATGAAATTTGTATAGAGCACTCTAAAATTCCCGATCATGCGCGTAGCCGACCTTAAACGATTTCTTCATCGCTGGGGAGAGGTGCGCACTTGATACCACAAACTCGATGTGCTGAACTTGATCCTGCACGTGTACTTGCTGAATCTGATTTACACCAACGTGGTGAAGTACACCACTCACCCCCCGAAGGTCATGCACATCGAGCAGAAGTTCTTGATCAAGACGCGAGCCAGAGCACAGAGCTCTCAATTGGACACCGTGACGACGCAGACTTTAATCGTGAACAACGCACTACTGCCCATAGTCATAAATACGAGGCATTGAAGCTAAAAAAGGGTCTGCGAGCGGAATGACCCCGTTCGGCCGTGACAACGCATCGGCGACCACGTTGGAGGTGCCTTTGACATGTGCAACGTAAAGTCGAATTGCAAGAAAAATGTCAATATTCGAGCCAATTTCGGTGTAATCAAGGGACGATGAAGCATCCAGCGGCCCGCAGTATTGTCTGTAAACACATCGAAAGAACATCCGTGAAGGTAATGGCGCCATTTGGAAAGAGCTGTCTTGATTGCTAATAGTTCTTGCTCGTGGGCAGGCCACGCTTGCTCATGAACACCAAACTTCTTTGAGTAAAACGCGATGGGGTGACCTTTGCCATCCGCAATCTGGGACAGGACGCCACCCATGCAGCACCCGGAAGCATCTGTGGTGACAGTAAATGGTATCGCGAAGTTCGGTTGCTGAAGCACAGGTGCTTATTGTAGGGCGACCTTTACGTCGCGGAATGCTTTGTCTTGATTGTGCGACCACTCCCACCGCACTTCCTTTATAACGAGCTTCGTAAGGGGTAGTGCAATTTGTGCAAAAGCACAGATTATCCGTCGATAGTATCCAGCTAATCCGAGAAAGCTCAATAGTTCTTTCCGCGTGCTTGGTGCCTTCATCTGCTCAATAGCTGTTGTCTTCCGCTGATCCACCCTCAAGCCATTCTTTGACATTGCATGGCCTAAAAACGCTACACTGTCCTTGCCAAAAGAGCACTTTCCCCGATGTGCGTAGAGCTTCTCTTGGCACGGTACCTTAAACACTTCGCGCAGATGTCGAATGTGATCTGCGTTCGACTTGGAAAAGACGCAAATGTCGTCAAGGTACGCAACCTCGAAGTCAAATTTATCGAAGAGGACCCGCATAAGTCGGGACCAGACACCTGGCATTCCTGCCAAGCCAATAGGCGCAACACAACATTGGTATATCTCCATGTGAGTCCGAAAAGCCGTGTGTTAACGGCTGGGTTCGTTTACAAGCATCTGATTATATCCTTGAGCCAATTCTATCACAGTGTAAACAGTACAGCCTGTCATTTGATCAAAAAGCTCCTCAATGAGAGACAGAGGAATTTTTGGAATCTTGGTCTGACTGTTCACGTATCGATAATCGATAACCCAGCGAATAGGTTGCGAGCAATTTCCCGAACGAAGCCACTGACCCCGGGTGGGAGCTTGTCCAGTAACATGGTTCTTTTTTGGTATAGCAAAGACATTGGAAACCTACGGTGAGTTTGAGACTTCTACCCAGCCTTCTTAAGGTTCTCTGTCACGAAGGACTCGAGCGCTGCTTGCTCCGTATTGGACAGACGAAAGAGGGCTCGAGAGCTGGGAATGGCATCCGGTTTCATCCCAATTTCGAACTGCACAGCACGTGTCGACGGGAGACCATCAGGAATCGTTTCAGGAAAAACATCGCTGTATTCCAAAATAAGATCATAAACCCATACAGGGATGATGTCGCTTGTGGTAACAGGGGATACCTTTACCATGTAAATCTCGGTGTACTCGTCTATTCGCACATACAATGGTCGCGAAAGTCCACTTCGTACAGGGCTTTGATTACTCTGATCTGGATGGGCCAACCCGTTCTCGTTCATGCCATCGGTGTAACGGGGCACCCTGAAGCTTGTACTGGTGACAGTACAAGCTACTTATTCTGATGACAGAATAAGGCGGTGCCTCGGAACTTCACGTACACTCGTACGTGCAGAGGAAGACGGTAAGAAGAAGCGAGTACTTGGTTAAAGTAAAAAGTAGAACTGTATTTATAATAGTTAATGTCTGCAATAACTCACTATTTGTCTTCATCTAACTATGTCTAAATACAAATGTGTAAATCAACTATCTGCTCACCACTCATTGCGTGCGTCTGTCGTGGCGCGTCTTCGTTGGTTGATAAATGGCCTATATCAACCAATTAGGAGCTACTCGTAAGTGCTACAGAATATTTGTCCTTATGACAATATTCTGAGAATATAACTCTTATAGTTATATTCTATTAACAATTTCTTATAAATTGTTATGTAACGATTCACCCCGTTACATCACCCCCCCCTCTTAACCATCAGTCACTTTAGCGACTGATAGACTAAATGGATACTCGTCCCAAATCGTTTGGGACGGGGTTTGCACTTGTTGGTCCGAGTCCACTTTCCAACATCTCATCGCATGGTTAACTAGCCCATGCGATGCGCGAGCAAGGCCGCCGAGAGCGCGTCCGCACGTCTCTGTGCGGACGCCGAAGCAGAAATCACAGCAACTGATGTCTCATCAATTGCTGAAGCGACTCAGCCTGTGTCACTTGGTGATGCAGGCGCTGGTCATGAAGACACTCATGTCGTCACAGAGTACGAGCTCGGTGTCTCATACTCTCCTGATGCGGATGACGGATCCGTATCGACGGCGATTGAATCTAAGCCGCCTGCCAAGCGTGGCATGGATGATGCTATGCGTCGTAGCATCTTTGGTTCATCTGATGAATCAGATGGACCATCGCCGAAGCGAAGGCACTCGAGGTCGCGAGACTCGGGCGCTAACAGTGGTGTCGGTTCTCCTATGGACACCACTTCGCAACGAGGTGCCGGTCCTTCTGTCGGCACGTCGCAAGAAGAGCGGGACCGCAATGTCTTGCGTCTCGCTCCTGAGAAGAAGGCATGGATGCCTCCGAAATCCGTCATGGATCACTTGTCGGCGACGACGAGTGATCGTTATCGAACACGGTTGTTCGATTCGTCAAGGATCCATCACCTTGACCCAAGCGCGATAACCTATCGCGCTGAGAATGAATTCTTCATCGATGCTTCTTTAAACATCGATGGTACAGTGGGAATCACAAGCGTGATGGTCCCTCACTACTTCAAGCGTGGAACGCCTACATCCATAACCTTGAGGGTGTAGTTCGTGACGGTTGGAACGACAAACTTATGAAAGCTCGTGATAAGTTTGAAAAGCGAACCCCGACAGGTGCACGCTACAAGCTGCATCGTCTGTCAAGGGAGAAGGGATTACCCTGCCTCTCTTGGGGAGACTCGTGCCCATGTTGTGTGAACAACTCTGCACGAGCACCTAAGGAGGCTTACCTCCTTACTAGCCCGTGGTAACGCGTACGTATCTCTACTGAGATGTACGAAGGGATTGACAACCTAAAATCCCTTTACGACCGTGCCGGGAAGACTTTCTCCGGCGGTCCTTCTGCGGCACAGGATGTGCCGCGTCGTACTACTCAATCAGACCCAGTACGTCAACCACCAGTTGGGAGCGGGGCTCCCAAGTATCCCAGGACGGAGGATAGCCGCGCCACCGGACGAGATAACTCGCCCGACGTCCGTTCACGTCGCGGTGTTTCAACAGCTGCTCAACTAGATAGCGCTGGCCACCGCGAGCGTCCTCTGATGGAGGTGGAGGAGGAGGGAAAACGATCTCCAAACTATCGTGGGGATCCGTGTGTTCTCGAGAGCTTCTTTGATCGCGTAACGCAAGGGTTACGCAACGATCTCGAACATGAGCGGGACAGGCGTCTCCAACTGGCGGACACTGTCTCGAGCATCGAGCTGAGTTTGCCTTTGCTCAGCTTGAGAACGAGAGAGCTCTGACATCTCTTCGTGACGATCTAAGGGTAGCTCGTGGGATTGTTGATCGGTCTCGGGATGTGATAACTGCTCTCCAGACCCTTGTCGATGCCCATCATCGGGAGTACAAGGCTCTCTGCGAGATGCTTGGACGCAAGGGCGTTCTTCATCGGAAGAAGAAGCGTACTGATGGTACGGCTTAAGCCGACCAACGAAAAACGTGGTATGCGTTCGCATCTTACGTGGCAACTCGATCGTGTATGCATTGCCTAGGCGGTGCAATACACAAAATGGGCCGATGTACTTGGGTATAAGTTTACTGCTACCCAGGTTAGTCACTACATTCTTTGGTAGATTAACCGTAGACAGTAGGACTAAGTCACCTTTATTAAATAAAAGAGTGTTTGCCCTTCCATTCTTGTCAGCGTTTTGCTTTTGCTTATCCACCGCTTCGGCGATGGAATCTTGCGCAAAACGGACTAACATTCCACGAGCCAGCATGAACTCATCTGATGACTCGTTAGCTTCAGTGCGCTGTGAGCGCACTGCAGCAACATCAACCTTTTCTTCAGTGAGGGCTTCCGCACTCTCACTGGCATCATCTTCTTCGATATCGATGTTATCGATATCGGCATCAAACGCAATGATCTCTTCGTCAGAGCGTGATGAGCGTGAACCAAATCGTTTTTTGCTCGCGCGAGTCCCTCCCCCCCTTAAACCAGAGTTACACTCTAGTAAGGTGGGTACACGCGGATGGCGCAAGCCATTCACGTAAAACGGTGTATGTGTCGTGGACGCATGCACCGAGTTGTTAATGGCAAACTCTACCATTGGCAAGAACGCACTCCAACTCTTAAAGGAGTGTACGTATCCTAGAAGTATCTCTTCAAGGACACGATTAGCACGTTCCGTCTGACCATCTGACTCTGGATGATCAGATGCAGACATCTTCAAGCGCGTTCCGAGTGATTTGAACACGGAACGCCAGAAATCAGCAGTGAATCGTGGATCTCTGTCTGATACGAGTTCACGGGACAACCCATAAAGTCGGAAGATGGTGTCAATAAAGACACAAGCACAGCCACTTGCCGTGATTGTCTCTGGTACAGCCACTAGGTGTAACATTTTGCTGAATCTGTCAACAAATACGAGAATACCCGTATTCTTGCGTGCGGCTTTAAGTAACCCGAAGACGAAATTCATTGAGATGGATTCCCAGCACTCAGCCGGAACCAGTAGAGGCTGTAAAGGTGCACGCAGTGAAGGATTTGACTTCACTCGTTGGCAGACTTCGCATGCGCGAACATACTTTCGCACAAACTGATACTGGCGGGGCCAGTAAAAGTCTCGACTCACTGTGAGATAAGTTTTCTCACGGCCACGATGTCCTCCTATAGGAGCATCGTGATACTCGAACATGATCCGCAAACGCAGATCAGTATCATCTGGAATGACAACACGTGGTGTGTCACCAGAAACGGCTGTATAATACAGTAAACCGTTGCGAGTAGTGTATCGATCTGATGCATATCGATACGCAGACGATAATCGTTTCAACGATTCTCGAGATGGCTGTGAGAGATGTGTCAACAACTTCACAATCTCACCATCTTGGGCGTATGCCCGACTCACATCATCATACAACTTTGTAGATGGGACTGAGGACGTCATAACCGCAACAGTGACTGTCTCACTGTTGGGTTTCACGACTGGTTCAAAGTCGGGACGACGTGAGAGTGCATCAGCGACGACATTAAGTGGTCATGGTTTGTACTCGACCGTAAAGTTGTATTCTGCAAAGAATGACAACCACCGCGCCATTCGTTGTGAAAGGTGCGGGCTGTTCACTGCCGTGCGTAATGAAGCATGGTCAGTGTAAACAATGAAGGATCTATCTCCTAATAGATATACTCTGAACTTCGCGAGTGCATACTTCATGGCAAGGAGTTCCTTGTCATGCACTGGATAGTTCCGCTCAGCTGGTTGCAGCTGACGCGACTGATAGCAGACGACGCGTTCAACGCCTTCAAGATCATACTGCATTAATGCACAGCCGATTGCGAAATCGCCGGCATCACAGACCACATGAAATGGCCTGTCCTGATCGGCTATTGCTAGGACTGGGGATTGTATCAAGCTCTGCTTGATACCATCAAAGGAGCGCTGACATTCAGCGTTCCATAACCACCTCTCGTTCTTTTTCAACAAACGAGAGAGGTGCACAGTCATCTCGGCGTAATTGCGTGAATACTTGTGCAAATACGCCGCTAGCCCAAGGAATTTTCGAAGACCTTTGCCATCAACCGGTACAGGCCAGTCGGTGATCGCCTTGATCTTTTCGGGATCAGGACGTACACCGTTCTTACCAACGATGCACCCAAGAAGTGGTATTTCGCTTGCTGCAAATATACACTTCTTGAGGTTTGCATACAATTGATGCTTTCGCATGATTGTAAGAACCTGTGGGACGTGGTATCTGTGAACCTCAACGTCCGACTTTCCATCCATAGCTCGACTATGGATGAATACGTCATCGAAATAACTCGGCGCGAATTCTCGTACTGGTCTCAACAGATGTGATACACATCTGTTGAACGTGGCAGGGGCATTACTAAGCCCTTGTGGCATTACTAGCCATTCCCAGAGCATGCCGCTAGGCGTGCTAACTGCGGTATAGGGAATATCCCGTTCTCACATAAGGCTTTGATAGAAGCCATCCATCAAATCCATGGACGAAAAGGTGGTACTCTTTGACATACCATCAATGATTACGTCCTTCCTTGGTATCGGCGTCTGAGCCGGTACCGTTGCAGCATTCAACTTGTTAAATGCATGCACTATCCGCCACCCTCCTGTTGCTTTTCGCACACAGAAGGTCGGAGAGCTAGGTGGGGAAGTTGATTCCTTCACATGGACCGCAGCTAAACGATCGGCAAAGAACTTGTCGATCGCAAGTACTTGTTCACGAGGCAGTGGCCACTGCTTCATGACACAGTACTTCGAGCCTGGTTTAAGCTCGACTTCGTGTCGAATACCTTTATCCTTCGGTAATTCGCACGGAACAGTTTCAGGGAATACATCCTTGAATTCAACCAAATCTTCATAGAGAGGATTTGTCTTGAGCGATTCCCATGATTGGGAGTCATATCGCTCAATTCGTGTCTTTTCATCTAGGACACTCTCATCCATAGATGAACTACTGAGAACTCTCTCGTTCTCAGTAAACACTGTTGCTGACCTTATGTCGGATACGCACTCGTCGTCAGCGACGAGTACGCAGATCTGCTTGACTTTGCCACTACGCAGATCACGCAAGAATCTTTTATGTTCGAGCGTTGGCAACTGAGTGATCTCCGAAGTTAACTTCGGAGGCGCAATCAGATCAAGTGTATAAGCGCCTACACTTGATCCGTTATTCACTATGACATTCAATGTCTCTGTCATTTCCTGGGGACTTATTCCCTCAGGCCTCGAAGGACTTATTCCTTCGGCTTCCCGGGGACTTATTCCCTCGGGTTTCGGGGAACTTATTTCCGCCGTATTTGTAATATCGGGACTTATTCCCTTTACTTCCTCTAGCTGGGGTTGCGCAACCACAGCGAGATCCTCAACGAAAGACTCTCCAGTCGATCTAGGATTATCATTTTGCTTAACCTGAGCGATCGATTGTTTCTCTTCTGGATGTTCCCCGCTGTGGATACATCTTTGTCCCGGTCCACTCGACTTATTCGAGTGGTGGACCTTTGGCACAGCCTGTGCTTCCTCACAGCCGCCGGAACTTTGCTCCGAAGTGTAACCGTTTGGTACACTAAGGTTTTGTGCAGTCGTACTAACGACCGTACCACAAGTGAGGCCATCGCACTCACTCTTAGTACATCCACACGCTTGTGGACGCTCCAAAACGTTCATCAGATGGCCATCTGATGAACAAGCGGCAGGCATCGTTACTGTTCGATGTTGCCAGTTTACCCGTGGTTCGTACCTTCTGAGCCACGGTATTCCAAGGATGACATCAAATTTTTCATCCAAATCCAATTCGATAAAGTCATCATCATATTGGGTATCTTCTAGCGTATAGTGGATCTTCACTATACGCTTCATGACGGTTACGGATGCGCCTGTCGCAAGACGTGTACCGTCATCCTCGTAGGAGGTGTGTCACATTCACTGAACTTAAAGTGACCATCTTCTAGTGATTGGCGTCGCACAAAATTGTTGGACGCCCCACAATCGACTAGAGCTCGAAGGGACAACTTTTTGTCACTTCGAGTTTCAAGGCAATGAGTGAGATCTCATTACCTAGAGCAGCAACGCACAGCGTTTGTGTGTTGGGAGCAACCTTCATCAAGAGGCCTACAAATTCTCTTGAAGTTGCTGGACCAGTAGGGTGCTCTGCACCTACTGATCCTGACCGTTTTTTGACGGTCCATCCCGTTGTTGCGTCTTCGCACCAACAGCGGATCCGCGTCCCTGCCCCTTTCTCACGGGTGGCCGGTCACTACGCCTAGTGTTGCGAGACACTGGACGAGGGGCACTACACTCGTAAGCGTAGTGTCCTGTCTTTTGAAATCTGTTGCATCTCTGCACTTCTTGTAGTCTGTAGAGCGAGCCTTCTCGCTCTCCACATAACAGAGTTCCATCGGCTCAGGACCTCCGTTGTCATATCGTCTCGGTTGACGATACGATGTCGAGCTGGCGCGAGCCTGTCTCATACTGAAGTCTTACTGTTCCGCAATGGATATGGCTTGTTCTAGTGAATCTAGTTCAAGGCGGAACAGGTGAGTCTTGACGGGACCATCCTCAAGACCCTGCATGAACACCGAAACAAACGTATGTTCATCCACCGGATTGGAACTTATACAACTCGTGAGATGTCGTATATGTTGTGCGTAAGCGTGCACATCACACTTACCCTGTTTGAGCTTCAAGAGTTCGGTTCGAGCTCTGAACTCAGCTCTAGGCGGTTCAAACGTTTGTCTGAGCCGCGACTTGAAGACTTCCAACGACCCAAACGCAAATGGGTCGTGCAACTTGAGCCCCAGTGCCCAAGTCTTGGCACATCCTGCCAGATTTGACTGGGAAAATGCAACTTGCATATCCCCTTCGTCGATGCGACGCGCCCTTATGGCGTCGTCCAATTCGACGAACCATCTCAAGAGGGAGCCCTCTTCGACTCCCCTATACTTGGAGATGTCAATCTTCA